TAAATGCCGTGAACTACAAATATGTGAATGATTAAACTTTGATGGCATAAGAAGGAACATGCATAGGGCATAGCTAGGAATTAGTATTGTCACGGGATAATTATTCCCTACTTAAAACGTTAATCAATTGAAATACGTAATGTCTATATTTATCAATTTCGAACTCTTATTTTATATATCCGATATGAGATTCCTTAACATTAACTTATACCTAATTATGCTTTAATTATGTTATGATTCAAAAGGGTGTTCTACTTTATTGATTGATTACTTAATATAAAAGCATTAAGTTCAATTAATCATATGTTTCAAACTTAATTAAAAAGATCACCATTTTAAGTATGAAATCTATCAAATTAATGAATTTTGACAAAACATCAGTACAATCAGTAGCAGTGTGCTTTAACTTCTTATAATCATATAATTCAAACCCAAACAAAAGAATTAATATTTCGATATGGAAATCATCAAATTAATGGATCTCGATAAAAAATTGTGACAATCTATAACCTTTAACTTCTTATAATCATATGTTTCAAATTTAAATAAAAAGATCATCATTTCGATTACAGAAATCATCAAATTAATAGATCTCAACAAAAAGTTGTAACAATCAATAACAGTGTGCTTTAACTTCTTAATTTGGTCGAATATAGTTAATAATCTCACCCATTGAATCAAGCAAATCTTGTAGTTAGTTATTTTTCTTTCTACCGAATATATGTAGCTGTCCCCTTTAATATGTGGGATTAGATATTGGTAAAGATTGAAGTCATCTACCTTATATCGTACGCCTAATTATATATACTTTTAATAGTTGCAGCTTGTATTTCGATAGTCTTTGCATCTATATGGATAGATTTGTTGAGGGTAATAAATGGTTTATCAATGGGAGGATAGCATCATGCTCCTTGTTCATGAAGCAGATCCCAACTAACCCTTTTCTTTGAAACTTTCACTGATCATAATTTTCTGTATTTGGCCAAGTAAAAGGATGAAGAGTTTAAGAAATGGTTTAAAGGATTAAGTCCAACAGGCCCTCAGTTAAAACGCGTTCCTCAATCTTCACCATTAATTAATATTTAATGCCACCTACTATGTATCCAAAGAAAAGTATGTCTAAGTTTGCTAAATGTTTGTGATACTAATCACGACATCTTCAGTCACATAGAACAATTCAAAATCTTAGTATAAAAGTTTAAACGATTTACTTTCTCTTACCATTGGTTATACATTCGATTCTTCGATCTTTCTTTTAACTTTAAACATCTTAAAAATTTAGATTGATTATATGAATGTAATTAAACTTGTAAAGTGTTCTTTGATGGATTCAAATATAGTGATAATTGAAGACAAAACTGGAATGCTTGGACGATAAGCATGACTCAAATAGACCCAAGGTTTATCTCCACGACTTCGAGCCAATCATAGCTCAAGATTTTGGCTTTGACCGTTTTGAAGAGAAGAAATTAAAATTCTTCTGGGGAAGGATACATCAGGAATTAGGTAAGTCCAACATTATTTTTAATGAGTCTGAAGCCCCAAGTCTTCTTCAAAACTGTTATCTAAAGCCTCCTAAAAGTCCCAAACCATCTGATTTCTGTTTTGCTTTTGGCAAATATTTCATGTGATTTGTAGGAAACGTTTTGGGATTGCCTTGTTGGTTATGTGTTAGGTCGCAGCAGTGTTGACTAAAATGTTTTCTAGATAGATGAGGGTTTGGTCACTTGCCTTGGGATCAAAGATATGCCTCCCCTCGACCATCAACCTTAGAGAGTCAAAGCTTCTATTAAGTTTCCCCAATATCTGAAGCTTGTTGCTAAGAAAATATAATTCAGACTAAATTTCTTTGTATTGACTTTAAACAAAAATATAAATAGAAGTGTTAGATTAAATATGTATGTATTATGACAAATATTTATAAATAATTATGTCTATAATTAAATCTCTAACTTTTGAATGCAGCATAACTCATCCTATCTTGATATATTAATACAAAGATCCCTTAATCAGCCCGATTTAACATTTTTTTTTTTCACTCATCTCCCTAACAAGCAATGTATGCACCTGTTCTTTCTTTTCCATTTTTGGTATGATGTAAAAAATTAGTAAAATTACTATAATCTTCATTTGGCTTCAATCCCACGCGTTATTTTGCCTTGAATCTGATAAGTTTGATCTAATATCAAAGAGCAAAGAGCCTAAAATCAGTTGTGATCCTAGGCAGGGAAAACAAATGAGCAATTACCTATACTATGGCTACACTATGGCTTGAACTAGAAGCAAACGCAGTCTAGTTGTTTGGGCTCAAAGCTTAATTTAGCTGTTGGAACAACTTTCTTGTCCCGTCATTAACATCAAGTTATTCAACTTGGTCCTCTCTTTTCATTGCTGCAGCACCCAGCTGGACATGGTCTTGAATTGATAGTTGATCAAATACAGCAAAGATTTTCATCAATTAAAATATATCTACTTAGAATTTGGTAAGCCGTTTAACCTATATAATTTGTGCATGAGGCTTAATGGGGTTTCTCCAAACAAGTTATAACATCAGATATTGATTGAGTTGATTTTTTTTGGGGGGGTTTAAGTATTAAATAAGTTCTTCAATTATGGGTACTTATGCATTTTATGATATCTTAAGAAGTCTTTTATCTTTTGATTTGTACACATATAAATGATAAATTAACAATCGTCAAATTTAATGTCAATTAGTATTTTTTTTGTCCATATAACAACTAATGTAACCACATGACAATCGATGCAAAATGGATAACACGACTACATCATATGCTACGTAAATAGAAAAAATTAACTACTATTGAGTTTGATGGTAATTGATACTTCATTAAAATTAAAGATTTGTTAAATACAAATTAAAAGTTTTAAGACTTTTTGACTATATTAAAAGATAGCTGAGTAATTAACCGAGTAGGAAGTACAAATTTCATCAAAATGACTTGATCTAAAGAGTAATGAGAAAAAAATATATGACTTGAACTGGTCCTATTCTTCATTTGTTTGTTTTTAACATATGAAAAATGTATTAAACAAATACATTAGTAGCTAGCTAGCCAGGTAAGTCAATTTTTAAACAAATAATTTTGGTCATTTTCTTCTATTTAATTAACATTTTGTGGGTGGTGCATGGATCAAGGTTTGGTAATATACAGGTCATTTTAGGAGGGAAACAAAACCCAAAAAAAAAAAAGAAGAAGAGCTAATTTTGATTAAGTCTTTCTTTATATTTCAGTCCAAAGTTTTAATTGATAAGTTGCAAGTGGTTAGACATCTCTCACAAAGAGTTGAAAAAGAGAATCCTTTCTCTCTCATTGGCTGTCATATTTCTAATGGTAGAAAGTTCAAATACTTCTTTAGGTTAATTTTTCATAATCAGTTGAAAAGGTTCAACATATTCAATGAAATTAAAACGATACAGAAAAATTAATATAGTTCTATACAAAGATGATGCGTGCAAATCAAAAGAATATCCAAATTGTTTAAATTTTAAAAGAAAAAATGGTTTGAAATGGTAAAATCAACACCATGTTATTTGTTCTTAGACTTGGTTTTGGTTTTTTTTTTTTTCTGTAAACAAATGAATGAACAAACCAAATTAGTCAACCAGTGACGCAGGCCCCAGAAGCAAATAATTAACATTCCAAGTGGAAGAAAACAAATGAAACCTGTATCCGAGCTAAACATTCCTGGAACAATCGAATCAAAACCCTGGAATTTCTATATTCTGGCCTGAATACATGCTCTCCTCAGGCCACTAGCTAGAGCCTGGAAACTTATATGATTGAATACCCAGAGTTGGGATGTTGAGAAGCAATTTTCAGAAAAATATATTGTTGCATAGTGACAAGTACTAGCTAACTTGGATGGATTCAGGAATATTAGATCAGGAAGTTGTAAGTATAAGGAAAGACCCTGGATCTTCATCTCAAAAGCTGAAATTCAATCAAGATGAACCAGGCTTTTATGGGAAATAGGATACCATTATGAACGGATTGAGATGAATTATCGACGGAATTCTGACAAAATAAATTAATTTGTCAGGAAATTTTAATCCTTCTTTCAAGTAACTCAAGTTAGATGGGCTTAGACTCACTGGCCCAAATTCCGGCCATTTACACTTTGTGTGTTCATTGTCAGTTTGATTTTGATTCTCTTTTGAGTATTTTCATTCACCTGATTGAGGCAGAAATTATAAAAAAATCCAAAGCTTATGATCATGAACATAATCATATGGCAAAAATTATTGCAAGACAGCTAGCTTTTTCCTAGAATGTGATTGAAGGAAATGCCATTCTTTATATTTGATACTGTCAATTTGATTAAAATTATGTTTCATATTTTAAAGGAAAGTAGAGTTATCATCAACTCGTTACACGGCACGGTATTGTAAAAATTATTTTTAATTATTAGAAATTAAAAAAAGTTAAAAAAGTTTTTTTCTATGGATGCGGATAAAATATTTTAGATTTAATGTGATTGCGTAACGTAATTTAAATCGAATTTACATTAAAATTTCATTTGATTCATATTTTTATTATTTTTAATTTCTTATTTTTTAAAAAAATGAAAAATAAATCAGCCAAGGTTGCAAAAGTTACAACACATTGAAGTGAACACTGACGTCTCGGCTGAGACTTAGACAGAAACAGATTTCAAGCCAATCTAAACCGTAGTCGCCGGTCAACTCTAGGGTAAACTTTGTTTAAGCATTGTCGGAATAGGATCAAAGCTGAAAGTACAAAACTGCCCTCGCTGTTTATCTTCAGGAAAAGAAATTTTTAATTATTAAATTGAAATAGAAAAATGTCAAACTAAATATTTATTTTATTTATTTTTACTTTGTGCTCCTGATCAGTAAAAACTTAAAAATAATTGCCTGGTTTAATAGTAATTTAAAGGGAGGACAAATCCGTCAAGAGAAGAAAACTGAGAGGATAAAACCGTCAAAACAGGAACGATTCCCAAATTGAAGTGGCCTGTCTTGGTTCCTCACGTAAAACACACTCTTTGCCGTTAAGTCGGGTACTGGAGAGACTGTCATCACACTCACACTGATGGAAACGGAAATGGAAGTCGTTGAAAACGGGAACGACGCGACCGTTAACGAGATCAACGTCCCATCGGCCCTAGAAGGTGGCGAAGCCGCTGAAGGAGGAGGCGATGGGGGAAGCCGTGGCGGTTCGGCGATCGGAGGGCGAACGCGGAAGGAGCGAGTGAAGGGACCGTGGTCGCCCGAGGAAGATGCGATACTGAGTGACCTGGTGAGCAAGTTCGGGGCGAGAAATTGGAGCTTGATTGCCCGAGGAATCGCCGGTCGTTCTGGCAAGTCGTGTCGGCTTCGTTGGTTTAATCAGCTTGACCCTGCCGTTAAGCGCAAGCCGTTTACTGGTACAAAGTCTACATCTTTGTTAAAATTTTGATTGATCTGTCAATGTGGTTATCTATCTTTCCTTTTTTTTTCTTTTTTGGTTTAATTTTTGGGAGTTGCTTGGATTATCTTTGCATGTTAGATTTATGTAATAATTTGAAGTTTAGAGTACCATGTTTGTTCAAAATTTCAGTTTTGGTCTTGTTCTAATTGTACTGTGCTTTGAGTGAACAAGGATATGGATTCCCCAGTAGTTCAACACGACAACAATGCTGAACTCTTTTTTTCTTTTTTTTGGGAATTTTAGGGACATGTGTGAGAGAAACAGAGATAGTAGTGTGGAAAGTGAAAATCAAGTAGCCAGCTTTTGCTATTGATTCACCTGTTCCTTGAAGAAATTGAGCAGGAGTCGAGTGGTTAAGAAATGGGAGTAATTTTGGCAAGCGTTAGAGAAACTGGTTGTGATTAGGGAAGTGTCATTGCTTATAAAGTTATAAGAAAGTAACAAGAAGGGGAAAATTTTTCTTCATATCATATGGTTGGCATTCGAGCAGAAATAATATTGTATAATCTTTAACTCTAAGCATATTGTGCTCGTATCCATATACTTAAAGTTCCGGGCAGAGTAGCCAGTATTAGCTTGTAACTTTCACTTCATCAGCGTTTTTGGCTGATGTACGCATAATTATGCGTTTGTACAGTCGGTCAGTGCATTTAGGCTTACTTACAAGAATGGAAAATGTGCATTAAGTGATTTATTTAGTGCTTTCTGATAAAACTGAGCTAATAACCATGTTGGATGCAGATGAGGAGGATCAGATGATAATTTCAGCACATGCAGTACATGGGAACAAATGGGCAGTGATTGCAAGGCTTCTACCTGGAAGAACAGACAATGCTATTAAAAATCACTGGAATTCCACATTGCGGCGTCGGTGCATGGAGCTTGGTAGAATAAAATCAGAATCTGAACATATGGCGGAAGATGCTAGCTTGGACAAAACCAAGGCTTCATCTGAAGAAACTCTGTCTTGTGCGGAGGACAGTTCATTCAGATCTACGGAAGGAAAAGATGTAAGCTCTTTGGAAAAGTTAGATACTCAATTAAAGGGCAAATCACTGACAGGGATTCAATCTAGTCATGAATCAATTGAACCACCTACTCTTTTCCGTCCTGTAGCCCGTGTGAGTGCATTTAATGTTTATAATCATGTGGATAGACCAGAATTTGTTTCGCCCTGTTCAAGGCCTGTTCTAATGCAAGGGCCTCTAATTCAAACATCAAAGCCTGATGTTGGGATCTGCAAATTGCATGAAGGAGTTTACAAGGAAGGTATAGTGCCTCTACAATGTGGTCTTGGCTGTTGTGGGACTCAAAATGTTAGAAATGGAAATACTAACTCTTTGCTGGGGCCAGAGTTTGTGGAATTCTCAGAACCCCCATCTTTTCCAAATTATGAATTGGCTGCAATAGCCTCTGATATAAGTAACCTTGCTTGGCTGAAAAGTGGATTAGAAAATAACAGTGTCAGACCAATGGATGATGCAGCTGGTGGTACAACATCTCATAGATCTCAAGTGTACACAGGACATTTTGAAAAGCCCAGAATGAGTGATCGTTTCCATATTGAAGAGAGAAACAACAAGTTAACGGGCAGAATGACTAACCTGCTGTCAACATAGAATTGGAGGCAATGGTACTTCCAGGTTGAGACATCACCTTGACCTTGGTATGTATTAATGTCTAGAGGCGGTCAGAAAATGATCAAGAGTGGTAGTTGAGGCTTTACAATAGCTCTGAATTAGCTTGGGGGTTGATGCAGGAATGAGATCCTGGTTTCTTCTGTGTTTGAAGTAAACGCCATATGGTACTGAACTACAAGAAAGGCTTGATTATTTCATGGTCATTGCAATGGTTGACCTATATGCTTAAATGGTCATAGTGGTTGATAAATTTGCTACCGGGGAGCTTGTTTACATGTTCATTTTACAAAAACCAAAATAACCTGTTAACATCCCTGTACCAGCTTGAATTGATGACAAAGTTTGGAAACATTGATTTACATTCTGATTACTATTCTTCGTCTTTTTTGTTGTGTATGTATTTGTTCTCGTTTATATTGAAGTTTTCACTAACTTTGTTGGGCTCAAGAATGTCTTCCCCAGTATCCAAATTGACCGATATAAGGGATGATTTTAACAATACAGAGTACTGGCATTTGCCTGTAAAGGAGAAATATCTTGTTACACTCATGATTGGCTGAATAGCTAGTGGGAAAGGTATGGCCTATGGTAGAGCGTAGCCTAGTAGGGAAAGTTAAAGAGAACATGGGATAAGAAGTTGGTACCTGGATGAATTGGTCGTGTTTAGTGCTTGAATGGCATTGATGCCAAAGAGTAACGTGGAAAAAAGGCTTAATGTAGGTTTGGTGTATTTGATTCAGGAGTAGAATGGCAGCTTCCTTGATATTTAGTTCTATTAGATTCAGGCAGATAATCAGGGCTATTATCCTTCTTTTCTTTTGCTAGCAAACCAGAGTGAAAGCCTGAAAGCCGTTGATGGTGCTGATAGAAAGTGGAAGACATCTGGTCTCACAAATAATGAGTGCCCAAGGCTTGTGACGGAAACATGCTGATGTATCCTTTTCAGGTTTCAGTGATCCTAAAACCCTTTCTCCCGAGGTTCTACAAAGAAAGAAAAACTGCTTTTACTCTTTCTCCTGGATACAAATCCTGAAAGAGACACATATCAGACTGTGGTACCTACCTAGCTCTGAATTCCCATCAGTCCCATTTTCGTGCCAATTCTGTTGGTTTATGAATAGAAAGATTCAACTTTACACACCGAATGGATCTTTCTTTTTTTCTTTTTCTTTTTAGTGTATTGTGTGTTGGCGTGTTTAACCAGGATGACTTGAACGTTATCTTTGGGCAGAGACCCTGGAAATTTCACATAGAAAAGTACCAATCTGAAGATATCATATTTGGTAAACAAACCCCAAGTAGGACCCCATAGGCTTGATTGGATTACGCACTCTGTTGAGTCTGAACCGAAACGCAACAAGAAAACTTAAAAAAAATAATAATAAGAGATTAGAGAAGCAATGATAACATTCAAGTCATCCTCTTATCTTCAAGTTTATTTTACTGCCAATTGATAGCCCAAAACAAAGTAATGTTCATACTGGCAGAAATACGTAAGATTTGCTCTCAACTTGTACAAGATGATCGAGCTTTAAATATAAGAAACAACTCTTCATTTATTAATTTTTTTTGTACATAATAGTTTTTTTTATTTTATGTTATTCTTACAGAATATTCATTCTATATTTCTTTTATTTCATTTCACACATTAAATGTCTCTTTATTGAATTAAGGAGTTTTATTTTGATTAAAATTGAGTGCACTAAGCTTTTTAAGTATACGAAAAAACTCTGCATCAATTGTTAAGATTGATCCCAAGTCAGAGGCTTGTCTTCTTTCAACAGTTCAGAAACTTTTCTTGAAAACAAAACTATTCTTGTAATAATATCGTAATCATATTATATTGTAACAGAATTATATTAATTAAATTATAATATATATATAATAATTATTTCTACTCTATTCTATTTTTATAAAATATCAATTTTATTCTACAAATCAAAATATGCTCCTATTAAATTAAAAAGTTTTAAAGATAAGAGAGAACATTGCATTTGATCCCAAGTTAGAGGCTTGTCTTCTATCAACAGCTCAGAGAAACCTTTTTTCTTGAAAAGAAGAGAAAGATAAAAAGGGAAATATCAGGGAAGATTCAACAAAAACGGTGCTTACCAGCCCCATCACCACAGGTTCACTTGCTCCTCCCTCTCTGCTCCTTGATGGGAGATTGGGAATCTGAGGAAGTAGGATGGGTTCCACCTTTGCCATGTGAAAGCGATCCAAAACGGTTTTTCCTTTGTTCATTTGGGGTTGTTGGTTGCAAACAATTTCCATGCTTATCTATTTATAGTTCCTCGATGACAAATGACAAGCTTCTTTACAACCTACTTTAGCTTCATAATGGAGCTGCCAAACATATTTCCAAAGACATTACTCCATTATTATGGAGTTGGAGTTGGCTTTAGCCTTCAAACTACTACTAAATTTTTCATACAAATTGAATTCGAATTCGATTTTAATAATTTAAGAGTCACTATTTATTTAATTATTTCGATCGATTATTAATTCATTCTTGGATTCTTCTTCAAGGGTTATGATTATTTTTAACTAGTGGTAGAATTTAACAGCATTAATTGGAAGTATTAATGATACCCAAAGGGTAAAGTAGTAGCAATGTGGTAGTGAGCAATTTGCTTTATATGGCAAAGAAACATGCGGCCTTGGATCCATAGCAGGCAGCGGTCCATTTAAAACGGATTCTCAATCCTTTCATAATTAATTAATATTAATTAAAAATATATATATTATTATATATCATATGATATGTTAATTTATTATAATTAATAATAATAATAATAATGACATGATCACACAATAATTTTATCTTTTTAGTAAAATAAGTAGTTTTGATAAATAATAATTAATTAAAATAAAAATATAAATATTTAATTAAACACGAAATGAAAAATATATAATTAAAGTGAAATAATAGTTATAATTTTTTTTTATATTTTCTGAAAAATAATTAAAAAGAAAGAAGACCACAAAAACAATAAAAATAAATGCATGAATCAGAATATAGGTAAACGGCCCGTTCATAGTCCTATCTTTAATCATAATTTAGCTGTTGTCATTACATTAAGGAGTTGGCTTTATAGCACCTCTTTGCTTTTGGTATTTTCTTTCTTTCTTTTTAATATTATAAATAAATAATTAATTAATTAATTAATTAATTATAAATTTCGTGGCTTTTGTGTTGTTCACGCAAACGTTACTGGAGCTTTGAGGTGGTCCACCTCCGGTCAAACCCGCTTCGAACTCCCCCAGATGCTTCTTACTTTTATCACATGCTTCGCTTGCTTATCTCTTTCCATGCACACTACCCTAATTTACCTAGGATTTAAGAATTTTTTTAATAAATTAATAAATTTATTAACATCATTAATTACATCAAACTCTTAACATAAATAATAAAAAAATTTAACACTTTAGTAATGTCATCGGACACCACTTATTTGTATATCCATCTAATCATGAATCTACCCATTGATACATCGATTCATCCTCACTGTTTCCCTTACCTTATGTGACCAAGCTAAGTGCAATCATACGTTCAATAATGTTTCAACTTGATCAATTGGCTAATCAAGTAATTAAGATCAATAACGATTTGATTAATGAGTGTTTACAATTATAAATATTTAGGTCATTTAATGTTAGATAGGATAACAATGGTGCGGAGTTAAACAGTTTTAAATTTAGAGTTATCCTGTTTTGCATTTTAAACATATTTAATAATAATTTTATATCTTAAATAAACTGAATTTATTTAATTTACATAAAATATGTTTAATAAATCATATTGGATTGTGTTTGTACTTATTTATATATTTATTAATATTGTACTTAAACTCGACATTAATGACATTATAACGATTACAACGTCACAACACAATTTATGATGAGGCCGATTAACAAATAATAGTAACTTAACAAGCTGAGGCTGCAATGCATTGAATAATGTTTTGCGGTTTCTATAATAACACGGGCGCTTAGCGCACCCGATTAGTGTATCGGTTAACTGAAAGCTTTCAGCTTAAATCAATAATTAAATGCTAAAAGAACTCTTTGTTTAATTGAAGACAAGCCAAACTCCGTTAGGGCCACCTCCAATATTTCACTGCCAAAACTACCCTTAAAAACTTTTTTCACCACTTCCGATTTTATTTAACATAAATAGAGAATATAAGTAAATATAAATACAATATAATTAAATAAATAGATCAAAATTTTGAATACGTAAAAAAATGTGTTAAATTTATATGTTTATTAAACAAGTTAAATTAAATTTTATATGAGTAATATAGTTGTGACATAATAAATTTATTTAACTACTAATTCAAATAACTTATTAAAATGAATATTATAAATAGATTAAATAAAATATATTATATGAATTGACATAATAGCATAATTAATTAAAAAATTAAACGTATTATGTGCAAGTTAAACGAGTTCAACTCATTAAAAATATATTATCGTACCTTAAACATATCATCGATTTAATTTAATATCGTGTTAACGAGTTTTGTCCATAATAAAATTAAAGGACTTAATTCCATCGGCTAAAAGCCGAGGATAAACATGTCATGTTATTGAGTACAAAAGACAGAAACGACAAAACGAAAACTATTTGCGGACATAAATTTGTTAAACCTCAAAATTTCTGGTGTCATGAAAGGATCGTGCTCTTCTAAGGAGTATGCGTACCTCAAATCTCAACCGTCGGATAATCTTAAAGATTCACACATCACTAAACTGATACCATCGGACGTACAGAATCTGCTTAAGACAAAGATCCCAAAGTACCAGCACCAAATCTTCCGGCAACTTTGTTTCTCTGTCTTTCTTTTAATTTATATATGTAAAAGAAAAGAAAAGAAAAGAAATCTCTCCTCAGTTCTCTGTGCACTCGCTGCACGTTTCTGTTCATCTTTGCAGTGCGTGTCCGAGTCTCAACACTTCTTGCGGAGCATCAGTTCTTTGTCTTTAAACTCCTCTTCTTTTTCGTCTGCTATTTCCTATGCATTTCTTCTTGTTGAGTACAAAGCCACGACTTTCTTAACTCTTTATCTTGTTTTCGCCTTTTGATTCTCTGGGTCACTCTTGTTTTGGGTTGTTCCAAATTTTTTAAGTTTTCTTTGTTACTGAATCGTTAATGGAGGTAAAGGGTCACCTAATCCAATAATAGCTTCTTTAAATTCTCACATTTCTTCCAAGCTTTGTTCAAACCGAACTCAAAGCTTGAAACTTTGAGCCTGTTGAGTATTTGATCCTCAAAACCTTTATAAGTTTTAAGTCTGTTTGATTACAAAGCCTTAACTCCAAGTTTTAGCTTCCTTTCAAAATGTCATCTTTAGAGATGTCCCAAATTGATTTAGAGCAAGGGACTCACAGCCGGAACGGGAGTGACGTCAGCGCCGGGGACGCTAGCGTCTGCTTCTCCGACGCCGACGAGGGTTCTTGCTACTCTCAGTTTTATTCCACTACAGGTGGTTCTTACGATGAGTACAGCTTCGCTTGCGCTTCTGATGGAGAGATTGGCGACGTATCGGATTCCAGGAGGGTGTCTTCAGTCTCGGATTGTTCTGTGGAGGTAGAGATTCCGAGGGGAGTTCCTGAAATCAAGGTGCATTTGGCGAAAGTCGAGAAAGATTGTCGAATTTGCCACTTGGGTTTGGAAAGCAACAGCCATGAATCTGGTGTTCCTATTGAATTGGGTTGTTCTTGTAAGGATGATCTGGCTGCTGCTCATAAACAGTGTGCCGAGGCATGGTTTAAGATCAGAGGAAATAAGTAAGCAAAAGAATTCTTGCCATTTTTTCTCCCTCATTTTGTGCATACTTTTGGCTTTTGGGTAAAATTATAGATGTATAGTTGATGCAGTCATAATTGTAACTTTTGTATGTATTGGTCATATGATGATTGCTTAGACTTGGGATTACTCTTTCTTGTTAGTGTTTTACAGTTTACCATTTGTTAGACTTGAGGGAGTGATTGTACTAACTACACAAAAGCCAACAAAAAGTTAAAAAGTTGATTATTAGGGGTGTTAGTTGTGCTATCCTTGGTTAAATTAAGTTATCAGTTGAAAAGACGCATGTGGAAAGGAGAAATTTGCTTAATGGAAAAGAAAATGGGAAGGATATTACGTGTATAAAGGATGTTGATAGAAATTAAAGTAAAGCTAAAAGCTAAAGCATTAAAAACTCCTCATGATATGTCTAACTAGGCCAACAATTCTTTGCTGTTATGTGCTTTTTTAGAGGTTTAGGAATCTCTCTTTCTTTTCCTCTGGTTCTCTTTCCTTGTAGCAAAGTGGGGATTTGACCTTTATTGATGTATTGCTCTGGTCTTGGTTGAAGATCATTGCTTTCTGGTGCACCACTTTGGAGTTTTTTAATTTGTAGTTGCAGATTCCAGATTTCTTACTTGGCATGATTAGAGAGTGCTGATAATTTTAGATGCCAAACCACTGGCGCAAGAAGTTCCCTGATTCTAGCTGTGATTCTAAACTTTCAGCAGATTTTGCATTTGGCATGTTCCACACTCCATGCATATTTAGATTGGGTTCCATGTTTTGGTGAAAGGATTGTTGATACGATAAATACCATAACCATGGTGGACCTATTGGTGTTTGCTAGCTATTGTGCTATCTAACATTCCAGTTCAGTGGTTGATTGGCCCTCATCGTTGACCTGGATATTGTATTGATCAGATTAGGATGTGAAACTGTAACAATTAATATGATCATGCTTGAAATACTACACATTATACTGATCTTCTTACTTATTTCTGACTTGAAAGCCAAACAGAAGGTCCACATTAATTAAATTTACTAGTTTTGATGACGAATTCACATGGAATCCATCTTAGATACCGTTCTCATTAAGCTCATATGCTACCAAGTGTTTTCTGATGTCATCATATACAAAGAGAGACTCACATTTGGAATTGGCGAAAAATATGCCAGCTAGATGCAAGCTGTGATATCTGAGTTAATGTGCAAGTTTTGAAACCATGCATAAGTTTTGTTATCATTACAGAAGAGCATGATTCATAATGTAAGACTGAACATAATGATAATTTATCTGATAAATAGATTCTTTTATTCATGTGTAATATATTCAAGGTTGGAAGTGGTAGCTTTTCCTTTTCACCAAAATGCAGGGTGTAATGATTTTATGTTGTGTCATTAAATCTAGAATGCTGCGTGGTCCATTACTCATTGAACACCATTAAACAATATCCTTGCCTCCAATGGTCTTTAGCCCCTCATTTTGAGTTTCATCACTACTGAAAATTTTTTCTTTTGTGATATATCATACCTCTCCCTAGACTCACTCAAGTCTGCTTAATTCTTTTAGGACCTGTGAGATTTGTCATTCTATTGCACGCAATGTTGTTGGCGTGACTGAGATTGAGTCGACAGAGCAATCAAATGAGGCCAACAGTTCCACGACAACAGCTGCAGTCTCAGGAGCGGCACCTCATTCAGACTCTCGAAGCTTCTGGCATGGCCATCGCTTCCTCAACTTTCTCCTTGCTTGCATGGTATTTGCATTTGTCATATCATGGCTCTTTCACTTCAATGTGCCATCATCGTAAAATCCTGTAGCACAGTTCTTGAACAAAATTGAAAGAATGAAAATAAAGAAACTGAATTACTGTAAAGGAGCCTGGAGAATTTGTTGCTATGACGATGAGTAATTGGATAGTCGAGGGTCTTGTGATGGTCAATAGGTATTTTACACACGCCCGCTTCTTCTCCATTCATGTAGAGAAAGTTTGTTATATCCAATATATGCACATTCATCATAATTATCAAAACTGTGTCTTGCTTTTGTACTCATAAAGTAGGGAATCACTATATCTGGCTTTAGAAGAGTTTTCGATGGTTGGTCTGTGTAATTGTTTCCATGCATGTTGTCCATGTGAATTTTCTCCTCAGATTGCGATTTCAAGAAATTACCTTGTAAAGTATTTATTTGATGGGAAATTTTAACAAAATTTTCCTTTTGATAAGTGAGATGCTATTAAGAAAAGCATGTAGAAAATTTTCTTTTCTATTCTGGCCGTTGTTTTTCACTTGGCAGAAGGCATTGCAACTTGCAATTGCCATTGCCATCAAAAGTACTGAAGCAGCTGTCATTTAGAGCCTAACCTAACTTAACCTAACCATCTTGAAATGCCGGTGCATTAGCTGGTTGTCACAGCTAGTAGCACACTACCATTTTTGGTCCTGTCCATCAGGACAACTTTGGTCATTGCAAAGATTGTCTTCTTGGGGGGAAAATGAATCAAACTTGCAAAGAAATACCTAAACAAAATTCTATCTTTTTCTGGCAAATTCAGGGAGAGTGAGAAGGTCTAGAGCCGTGATTACTTGGTAAATGGTTTACGTTCTTGTTTTCGGGCACCCAAATTAATACTTGAAACAACTTTTGTTTTGTATTAGTAGTTGCCTAATCAAAGATATAGGCAATCCTCTGTTCAAAGGGTTAAATTCATTCTTCTATATGATGCTTGAAGTCTCAAGACAGACCCCGGTAAGAGATTGAACAACCATGAAATAATCAAAACCAACAATAAATATTGAAGAATTCTGCAAAGCAGCAAAAGCCCAGAATCATAAATACAAGAGCCTAAAGAAAACTATGGGGGAGAGAAAAGAAAAAAAATAAAACAATTGGAAAAAACCTATACAAATTTTATTAGTTTTTGTTTCTTTTGGCTTCCAAGCTGGTGCTGTCTTTGAGCGTTTCTTGGCCGTCACTCTCCATCCCTAGGCTAAACAGGCAAGCGGCTTGTAGATACAAAGCTGTGGGCCACTCTGGGGACACCACCTGCGCTTGCATAGCATCCCCAAGGGCCTCTTGTGGCCTATCATTCATCAAGTAAGACAAGCAGCGTCTGGCATAAACGGTTGGTGACACCATGGTCCCGCCATCAATGAACTACATAAGACAGACAAGATCTTGAGTCTATCTTTCCCGTATGGTATATTAATGCACAAGGGGTCGAATTGACAATGGTCGTATGTTAACGAGTGAGTGAGTGAGTTCATGGCCTACTAGCAATAAATTTTCAGAAGAAAATTAGGTACTGCACATGTGGCAAACCAAATAAGCTTAGCCCTGTATGTATATAAAAGAAACCCAGATTTTCTTCCTTTCCATGCTTTTGTAACATGATGTCTATCTGCAACAATCACAAGAGGTACGGATTTTGCACATGGGAAACTCACCTGTGTGTAGCAATCAACTGCACTTGCAAAATCCTTAGCCCGAAAAGCAGTATCTCCATGTTTCTTTGAATTCAAGGTTTCCTGCATTTGGCTGGTCCACATTTGAAAAGAAAGCTGAAAAAGGACAGAAAAAAAAAAAGACAAAATGAATTAGACAGATATTACATGATTGCTGAAGTAACTTTAACTAGGCAGATGGGAAATGATCCTGTGCTCTTTAAGCCACAAAATATGGATTTCACAAAATAATTGGGCATTTTGCAGTCAATTGGTTATGACTCATGGACTAATTCTGCAATTCCATAGCATTTTTTTTTCATTTGTTATCTTGTCCTCCTCCCACAACATGAGTTTGTGGCAGGTTGAGGAGAGCTATCCCTTCCCCGGTCAGTTCAAGATAAAGAAAGTCATATCAACATTAGTTTGCTTGCCGCTAATGTGTGTTTATATTCAGAAAATGAGTTACAGAACATATTTTCAGCCCTCATGAAAATAGAAAATCAAGGATGGAGTAGCGAACCTCATTAGCGATCCCCTCATCGTCTTTGTATCCCATCTTCTCCAATATTTCATGTATAGCAGTCAGATCCAACCTCAGGCAAGCCTCCCCAAAAGGTGTCAATGACAATGGCTGTTTTGAAGAAGCAGTTCCTTGTGGAATACTCATCAAAACATATGATGGTACCTAGCAAAACTCCATTTAATGAGAAAATTCAATGGTGTTTTACAAAAGACAACCCAAAATAATGAAGGACATGGAGAAGAAACATACATAGGTACAAAGTACAATTATGTCATTGAAATGAATAAATGATGTTATGAGGAAGAGTTCAAAAGTTTGGAAGATACCAAAATACAGAAAATAACAGCTAGAGAGATATGAACTTGCAGTAGTCAATTCAATAAGCAAAGTTTTATGTACCTCTGCTTCCTTCTGGAGTGACAAGAGAGATGTGACAAGGGACTTTGCATTTGGCCTCTCACGAGCTTCATACTGCAAACAGCGAGAAGCTAACCGCACTAACTCTGTTCCATCATCATTAGAGAAATGGCCCTCCAAAGCAGAATCCATCAACATGAGAAAGTTCTTGCTTCGAATCAAGTCAAGTGCCTACAAATAAAGCACACCGACACTCAAATTACCATGGACTATTTTAACTCAGATACACTGAAATCAACAGCATCCAAACGATGGCATCACATTTTCATTTTCAAAACTTGGAAAACTTTTTGAAATTTAAAACTTCAACGTCTCATGAAGTTACTGCAGCAGGCAGTTACTACAGCACCATTCACATAGGAAAGTGCTAACTCCTTAAGAATCCAAATCATGCAAATACTAATTTTCTAACCAATCAATCACATTACATGTTGGTACATCCAGATTCGGAATATGAATGGAACACTAATTATCAAGCTTTGTTTTGAGAAGAAACAAGAATTATTATGAGACAGAGAGAACTTACATGGCTGGGAGGAATATGTTTGCCACTCATGAGATCTAGCAGCAAGGTCCCAAAGCTATACACAACACTTTCTGGAGTCACTCTACCTGCCAAAGAAGCACATCCAGACCTTGAGTTGAGATTCCAAAGTAATGCATTTCTTAACATGTAGATGAAATGAACCGTTTGAACACTTAACCCGTTCTCAGGTATTCTGGAGGTGTGAAAGCTAAGTTGGTGCTATAACTCTTGCCATCTCTGCTGTTCTTCATGAGGCCAAAGCAAGACAACCTGGGATTACCATCCTGTCAACAAAAGACCCAACTCAGAATCGAAAGCCAAGATGGCTAAAAAGGGTGGTTTGACAAGCAAAATCTCCATTAAGTTTACATTATCAAACAAAATCCTGTAAGCATTGAGATCATGGTACAAAGCTCTTCCTTTACTGCTACAATACTCCAAAGCTTGCGCCAGGTACAATGCCACCCTCAACCTCATAGCCCATTTCATCGGCTGATTTTCCCCTGACAATTCAGCCCAGTAACTTTCTTTTACTTTTAACTGCAACCTTCATTTTCACACTGGAAAAAAACAAAAACGTACTAACTTACAGTGAAAAAGATGCTTTGCCAGCGTTTCATTGGGCATAAACTCGGCCACCAACAGCCTCTCCTCGCCTTCATAACAACAACCAATCAGATTCGCCAACCGCTCACTCCTTAAACTCCCAACAGCTCTGGCTTCCTCCTAAAACACATTTTGATCATTTAATCTTCACTTGGTTTCATAATTAATCGATTACAAAACAAAAGGAATGGGATTGAAAACGGACAAGGAATTGGCGAGAATCGGGCCAGGCGAACTTGTTAAACCGTTTAACGGCGACCCAACGGTCATTGTCGAGCTTCCCTTTGAACACAACGTTAGGAGCTTTTTCACCGTGTTCCGACACTATGTTTTCGGAAGAGAACCCACACGTGGCAGCTTTCAGTTGCTCCAAGCTGAACTCACCGAACCTCGGCCATGTGTTCTTCTCACCTTTGCCTCCATTCTCTGCATGAAAATTACAATCTTTTCTCTACTAAAAAAAATTGTAAGAAGAGAAAGACAAACAGAGGAATAGAAGACGAAAGGGTACCGAGATCGGAGGATTCGAGGACGGAAGCTTTAAGGTGAGACTGAAACCAGCAAATAGAGAATTTAGAACAACGAGCTCCCATTGTTCTAGTCAAACGATCAAACGACGGAGAATCAACGACAAGTGCAATGATCAGACTCTGTGCATTGCTGCTACAATCCCGAACTCTGATCGTCTTGAATCCAAAGTTCTTTCTTTTCTCTCTCTCTGTGTTGGTTCAGCTTTAGTAGTACTTTTTTTCCCTCTCTTTACTATAAAAATCCGACATTTTTATTGCTTAAAACTTGTTGAAATTTACTCAATTATCCAACCAATTCCAAAAAAGCTCCTTTTTTGTTTATGGGTTTCAGCTTTTTTTCCACAATCTCATCATTTACTTCCCTCTTTCAGCCTCTTTTCAATTCTCCGGATGGTTTTTTTGGGAAAAACATGCTATGGGTTTGAGGGCTTTTTGGCCCTTTTGGAGGTATCAATACCGCGTAGGCGACGAAGTGGAGGAAGTGGAATCGAATCAAGGGGTGGTATTAGGTTTGGTTTAGTCAAAAATCATGCAAAAACAATGACGTGGAAAGCTAATTTACACGATTGTCTGTCAGTTCTGGTCTTAGATTTGGCGAAGTTGCATTAAGAAGTTTTTTGTTATCTTTAAGTAACTCACTCTCACTTGTGTTATATCCTCATCAGATTATTCTGCTGAATCATATTCCTTGACAGAGACCAATCGGCCATTTCTTTTGGCGCAAAAACATGCAAATTGGGTTCAAAAGTTCACACTTGATTTGTTGAAAATGGGATAATTTAAGTGGAAGTGAGGGAAATGAATATGTAATTCTGCGATTTGGGTTCTTTAATTATCACGTTTTGCATGACAAATTCACCGTGAAACAAGAATCGTGTTTTCTGACTATGAGCATTCAGCATGATCATGTGGAAACAGATTGGTACTCATCTTGTCGTTAAGAAAAAGAAAAAACAGAGCATAAAAGCCTTTTCAGGAAGATGTCTTGTTGAGAACTGAGGGCATGGAATGGGAATGGTAGCAGGTTGTAGGGAATTAGTGGGAAAACCATGTGATCATTGACAATGAAGCAAGTTGTCATTCGGCTTTTGACTCTGTCAAACTTTTCTTTTTATTTTATTTTGCAATAAACAGGATGGAATTCCAATAATGTCAATCCAAGAAACCTTAATCAATGGAAGAAAAGGCAGATGGCTTTTCTCAAAACTGATTGAGCAAAGGCCTTTCCCAATGCCCTTTTCTGAAACCTATCAGAATGAAATGCAACTTAAAAAAAAAACTTCAGAATTTCAATCTGTTTACTGCACATATATTTAACCAGTGGTCACTGAGGAAACAAAATATGAAATCTGGTTACAAGTATATGTTGCCATCAAGAAATGGACCCAAAGATAGAACAAAAAAAACCTAGAGATCCCTGCTGCAAATTAAGCATGCTCTGGTCACACTCTCATCCATCAAGGGATAACAAGAAACAAAAGAAATCAAGAGAGAGAGTCCTTGTCTGGCAGGTGGTGACATAATTAGTACCACCCACTTAGGGTTCAAGAGGACCCCTTTTGGCTTTTTACAGGGAAAAAAATGGGGGAAGGAGAGGGGCATGCAAAAGGAGAAAGGTGGTCGTTATGCAGACATGAAACAATGATGGAAATTGCATCTCCTTTCTCTCAGGCTGGCCTCAGCCCTCTCAATCAGACATTGCCATTGTTCTCCCACCTCTTCTCTTTATTGACCAACTTTTTTTTACAGCTTAAATTGCGCCGGGCACCGCTTTTCTGGTCATCCCACCACAGGTGGGCGCCATCAACCACTCACTCACCCTTGCTTACAAGATCCCCGAAGAAATATGGGGCCTCTTTGCTGTCATATTGTCGACACAAGCACACTCCAAAGAGAGCCCACATAGGCAAAGCAAGGCTAGCTGTTGGACAGCCCATGTCCTTGAAATTTTAACATTGATACGAAACAAAATGATACTAATACAAATAAAGAATATAAAGATAGACTTAAAGACATACCCTGCTTTTGTTTGAATCCTTTCCGGTGATGTTCGAGATAAGATTAGATGGATCCTATTCAAATTATACCTTGTTCTGACACGGTTTGTGATCTAAGAGCTCCTTTTTCCAAAAGGGTATTCCAAAATGTTTTTAAGTATTCAATCTTTATGCATCCCCCATTCACGCCCACATGATCTTCCCTATTGGAACTTGGCAGTCATATCGACTTGTCCCGGTCCCTCCCTGGTACCGACAATTACTTAAATAAGGTATGTCTTCGTATCTGAACCACAGCCATGTTGCATTTGTGTTCTTCAACATGGCCACGCTGCTTCTGTTGGATTCTTTAGGCGGACAAATTGTTCTTGGTTTCACATTCTCTTCAATGTGTTGGAAATGGTCAGCAAATTCATTGTTACCGTTAGTTTTTCCGACATATTTTCCAAGTTCTTGCTATAGTACAAAATAAGGCATTTCATCAGAAGAGATCAATCCTTAAACCTTTTGGTCTTCATCTTGAATGCCCCTCATTCATCAACTAAATTTTGATTTCAGAGAGTTTTCCACAGATCTTAAATGCCTTTCATGGTACTTAACTCATAAGTTTCATAAGATTTGTTGGCTGAAATGTGCAGCAGTTAAGACATAACCGAAAGTGTAATTGGAACAGTTCAAGACAAGTGTATCCAACGACCACGAAAGGTGAGGCAGCCTGGCTTAGTGACGCAATGAAAAAGAAGCTTTCCCTGCACATAATGGCACCCATCGAACGGACAACTGGCGCACAAGAACATGGACAATATGCATTCGCTTACATCACCAGCACATGCAAACAGTAAGGAAATGGAATATCACGTGCTTCCCTTCTGTCAATGCACCATCTGCCATTTTAGTTGCAGGAATCAGAGTTTTTAAAGCCTGGCAACCACAACCATCTGACTATCAAGGGGGCCACAGTTTCGTCCACTTTTTTAACTAATACTCTAAATTCTGTGATCTTGCATCATACTTTTCCAGCTTTTTTTAGTTGGGTTTTTTCAGTTCTATTCAAGATTCAAGTCCCCACCCTGCAATCCTGTATTCAAATGAAATATATATATATAAAGAGATTTAATAGTCACTTAAAAGTAGTTTTATATCTCAATGGCCTTCGGCATTCAGAGACAATTATATTTCACCATTTGACATTGTTGGCAGAAAACAGCAGAGTATTCCAACAGCTACAGTAAATGAGGGTACTATCAACATGAAAAAAGAGAATGACAACAGCAAATAGGAACTTGGAAAATTCCATTATACATGTCGATGCTGATGATGACTTTGATGGTTTCTAAACCAACGACATTGGAGGACTGCAGTGTACAAGTGCACCACTCAAGTTCTCTCTTTCTTTTTTTTTTCTTAAGAATACAAATCAAATTACCAGGCTTGGAAGAAGCTAAGCCTTTAATCCAAGATTATAGGAAATCAAGCAGCCCCATTACAATGATAGCAGCAGCTTCCATCATCTATGCACCATTCATTGCAGTATCAACATGGATCCCATTGGCATCTTCTAGAGTCTTGCCATTAACTTGCGTTCTCGGCCTCTGAACAGATAAAAGAAAACAGAAACGCAAATCTAAATTAGATATCACCATGAAGATATTCAAAGAGGAAGAAAACTTTGACCAATAAAATTACTATACCCAATCAGCAGGGTCTATAGAATTCCCATTCAGCAGCTTGTGATTCTCTTCTTTGGTCTTGCTATCCTTGTCTTTGGTGCTCAATGGTAGCAACAGAGGTAAACTTCCATTGGATCTGTCGGGCAACTCTGCAGCAATATTTTAGTGTTAGATTCACTGACTAAGGTTATGACTAAACCAGTGGGAGAAGAATTAAAAGATAGTTAGACCAAATTAGATACGATCAAAACATTCTAACCTGGCAGTTTCTTGTCTATGAAGAATACCACTAAATTAACAGTATACCTGCAGAAAAATTGTAATGCAAAATTAAAATGAAAAAAAAAATATTAATGATAAATAGAAATTTTGAAAGTGCAATTCATACCATGCAACAACTACGTCAACTGTGTAATGTTTGCGGGATGCTACAATCAAGAAACTTTGAATAATTGCTACCAACCAAGCAAACTGCTTTATACACCTGCAATCACACAACAATACAATCAGAAACCAATCAGTTGGCTACTCTTATGTGTGTCAATACATCAAACTAGAATGCATTGCCCCTGATCCAAACATTTTGATTGCAAAAATCTTATAAGCATGGTACTCAACATAATCTCTTGATGTTCCCAATAGTTATGGTTTTTTTGCCCCCTTTATCTTCAGAGTTAATGGCTAAAATCAAGTAATATGAATAAGACATGTTTACCTTCGTGTGCCATATTTCTGATAGGTGAGCACAAAGACCAGGGTGAAGATCATGTGTGATGAAAAAATCAAGTCACCACAACCATATATTACACCTCGAGGAACTGCAAATTTGACAAGCAAATAAGCCAAAATATTTATAGAACACAACATATCAACTAAATATTTAAAAGCAACAAATTGAAATTTTCAATAAAAGAAGACTACATACAATTAATTAAGAGGACTTCTAGCACACTCTTAGGTTTTGGCAACCTAGCAAGTTTCGAACCCTGTAAAAAACATTAGTTAGTTACTAAAATGTTCTTAAAATCAAATTTCATTTCTTACATTAACCCACAGAGAACAAATGTTCAATGCAGAAAAGAATTAATAAAAGAATATCATTTCAAAACGAAAACATAATGTTGAGAGCATATACACACAGAAGTTCAAGACTCTACCTCTCGGCAATGATAATTTGGACCCGGAAGCTGAGTTGAATAGAATGTGATGATTCGGAGTATCTGAGAAGCCTGCAGCAAATAAATAAACAAAGAAAACAAACAACTGTAAGTGAAATACTGTGGAAATGCTTAACGTTTCATGATCCACCAGTATTTATCAAATTAGTAAAGTTAGTTGAACAACTTCAGCATTGAGTTCAGTTTTACTGGACAGGTTATTCATGAAAATTGTACTTTGAATTGATGGACACCTTTGGTCATAAAGAAAAACGCAGGAAAGGAAAGATAATCTTCCTTTTTGTAATAATATACTATTAAAACCAATATGAGTTCATTTGAGTCTGGACTGCTATCGCACAAGGGTTGAATAAGCAGCTCAACAAATTACTAGCTAGAAGAAAAGGACAATTATTCATCCAATATTTAATAGGAGAATCCAACAACGCTTCAGTTGATTCTATCTTAACCATGGTAACATATATTGGTGAAATTTGACAGACGGAAGAACCTAAACATTAGTCCCACAACAAATGCCTATATCGTGTGCATGTGTAATCAGAACAAAGATATAGAGTAAGCAATATTACTTACAACTAAAAATGCTAGCACCCTGCACCAAACTAGAACTGTGTAGATTTTTTTGCTCTTGAAGATGAAAGGATGGAAAGTCCACTGCAAATAGTAATTCACATGTTAGAAGTGAAGACACAAAGATATCA